GCCTCCTTATCCGCCCGCTGCTGACAGTACTTAGCAACATGCCCTATTTGTCCACACACATAGCACTTCCCCTTGAAGCCCCCTTTCCCCCCCTTCGGCTGGCCATCCTTACCCCCTTTCCACTTCTCCCCTCCCCCACCAAGCCCACCCCCATTCTTAGGCTGCTGCTGCTGTGCCGTAGTGGGAGGGGAAGGGAATGAAGTCTGCTGGAATTGGGGCTTACCCTTCTTGGTAAAGACCTGGTTAGCCTGGGGAAGAAATTGGTCCTTTCGTCCCTCTGCCGCCAGCGTACACTCCTCCTCGATGATGTAGCTAGCGAGGGTGTCCTCGTCCAACTCCTTGCGAACCTGCGGCAACTTCAGCATCCTGCGTAAGAGGTTGTACTGCTGCGGCAACCCCTTCACAACGTGAGTGATGTACGACGCCTGCGAGTAATCTACGCCGGCCATCCTCAGGTTCACTAGGATCTGCTGCGCACGGTTGCAATAGGACGTAGCGGACTCGTGCTCTCCCATCTCGATGTTAGTGAGCGCCTGCTCTAACTGACCGATGTACAGATCGTCCTTCGCCATGTACGTGCGCATAATAAACTGCCATGCCTGATAGCCGGCATCGACCTTCATGCGACACGCCTTAAGGGCGATCTGTACGGTTGGGGAGCAGCATCGGGAAATGGCGGTGAATGTCAGCAACTGCATCGCGCGGAACTGAGAGAGATGCGCAAGCGCACGCGCTGGTGGAATGGGGGTGGTGCCATCTATGAATCGCTTTAGCTGAGCGATCTCAAGCTGCGGCTCGATTGATTCTGTCCACGTCGACAGGTCGTGACGTCCTTCTAACGGCCTAGTGACAACGATCTTGTCTGGAGTGAATCTGAAGTAGCCATAGTTGGGGGCTATTCCCTCGTCCCTCGACATCGATTCAATCGGGGTAACGCCCGGCATAGCCTCACTATCGAACTCTTCCGCAATTCCTCCTCCAGCAACGCTCCGCCGTCCTACATTCGCATGCTCTCGTGACGCTGCTGCACGATGAACACGCTCCTGTACACCGCCAACGCTAGCCGTACTAAACCGAGTTGGTCCTCGCAGGACCCCACGCGACATCAACCCATCAAACTCCTCGTCATCGCTATTTCCGCCATCGACAGCCATATCCCACGCACTAGTACCTCCCGCAACGCTCAACATTCTCTACACGTGGCGAAGGGTGCTCACGACGCCGACGCGAGCGCAATCCCTCCAACATTAGCTCGTATTCGATATCACTAATCTCACCACGAGAATGACGAGCCACGAGATCCTCCTCTAGGGCGCGCAAATTACCGGCCTCCACGTTCGCCTCCTCTGTACTCATCCTCTACGACGTCTCTATAAGGTACCACAAATTAAAATAAAGTGCCCCTTCCTTAAATCCCTCGTCTCGGGGTCACCTCACAAGGGTCCTCAGACGAGTGGTAATAAATTACCAAACGCCCTATCCTTGGGTCCGAGAACGTAACTGGAGGGAAATCAAGAGAGGTTCAACTTAGATTAATAAGCGCCCTTCACTAACGCCGCACGCCAAGGCGAGTATACGAACGCGAATATCAACGACGACGGAAATCTATGCGTGTTCGTTCCACGCTCACCGCACCATGAAGGAATATATTAGAGAGCGTAGCGATAGCGAGAGAGTCTCTGCTATGGGAATGATGTTGCGCCAGCAACTTGGTAGAGTTTTGGTAGCGTTTGCCTCTAAGGACTTTGTGAGAATTGAAGTAGCATTTGGGCCAAGTAGAATTGCAATATCAATTATCAAACACACAAGCAAACACAAACATATATAGGCAAGCAAGAGTTGCACAATTGTTGCGTGGCACTGCGAGTAACTCAACCCACACGAAAGTGCTGTGCAGGTGGGTGAACGCGCCCCGCACATTTCCAACCCAACTCGGCACCGGAATGTCTCACCGTGCACGCTACTCCTGCCAACACAGCAAGTGAGCAGCGTGCCTCACAAGCAAGGCACCTACGACCCCCAAGACTCGTCATTCCTAGCACCGATTCCGCCGAGTTCGCTGCAGTAGCTCACAGTCACCCGTAGTCACTAATGACCGCCACCGAACTCGTGCGTCGGTGCCGAGTAGACTCAGTCGTTAGGCGCCGACCTGCCAAGTCAAAGGTCATCGAGGGCCCTTGCTGTCGTAGGGCCCTCTAACAGGCTCTATGAGATGGTATATGTACAAATGGTAGAGAAGTGTGAAATGCCTCGGATTCAGCTTACCCCCCAGCACTTTCAGCACCCACTGCCGTGAATAACGGAAATTCACTCACTGCGTAATCAGCACCAGCGCTTGTGCAAGGACCAGCATCAGCGCGGTCGACGCCACGTGAATCGTCGCCTGGTACGGGAGATCCCCGAAGTGCATGATAGTATTTACAGGCTTTCCAGCAGCAGTATGACCAGCGCTATCGTTTTTTTTGTTGTGGCAGGATTTTGCGGCAGTCCCAGCGACGTCAAACACGATATCGTCTAAGCGACGCGCCAAACTGATCCCCTTGGTCGTCGCGATGAGAAACGCGACGAGAACGGGCCACGTCATGAGCCCGCACGCGAACAAGATAACAGCCATGACACCAACCGCGTTCTGTGCAAATCGATACAAACGCGCCACCCTCGCAGGTCCCAATCGCGCCGTCAACGTGACCTTGCCGCACTGCAGGTCCGAATCAATGTCGGGAAGGTTCATGACCATCATCCGCACCAACTGCTGCACGCACAGGAGCGGGATGATCGCGCGGAGTGACGTGGGAAGCACGAACGCGTTGTCGTCGCAGCGCTGCAGCGCGCCCATCACGGGAACGCCCCACGTCAGCACGGCGGCAACGGTCGCTTCGCCCAAGCCGCGATAATGGAGCTTAAAAGGCGGCGCGGTGTATGCCCAGGAGAGGAACAGCGTCGCATACGCGACGCACTGCGCGGGGGCGCGGAAGAAGGCGAGCTGAGTGACGACGCTACCCACAAGCAGCACGTTCGCCGCGGCGAGCGCCAGCCAGCGCGTCAGCAAGCCCTCGGGAAGCACGCCCGAGCCGCCATTCCACTTGCCGCGTTGCTTGTTGGCTAGATCGGCCTTGTAGTCGAAGTATTCGTTGTAGTAATGTGTCATGACGTGCGTGCATGCCACGAACAGCGCAACTGGAACGAAACTGTCTATGCGAAAGCGGAATTCGTGGTGGTGGCTGATGTCACGCGAGAGCGCGCCCATGAGCGCGAGCATGGACGAGTACGGGATGAACTTGAGTCGCCCAAGTCGCATGAAAGCGCGGAAGGACGACATATTCTCGATTTCTGTCTCTGCTGCGTCTAGCTGGTGGGAGCAAGATCGTGAGTGACTGTCTCTGTTTTTTCAGATTGATGCTGGAGGTGAGTCTACGGAACAAATGAACTAGGAAGCAATTTATCCTCCCATACATATGAAGATTGGGATGCGTGGGCGAAAGTTGGCGAGTCACATTTCGTGAATGATGGCGTGACGACAAAAGTAACCACGGAAAACGAAATGTTCAGCGACAGTGTGTTTCCTGAATCTGCTTGCTTGAAATGTCATGAAGAGCCAAATGGTTGCAGCGTGACACCGACCCGCAGGCACGGGCATTCCAATTTCATTTTTGGGCGGCTCGATGTCCATGTTTCAATCTGAGTCAACCCAAGGATAGAATTGTTGGGTGGCGAACCAGGACGCGTAAATCACGGATGGGTCACAGAAATGCAGCAACCTCGAAAGGGTTTGTGTTACTCGCCTTTGTACCGAATCTCTCTAAACGAATTTTGACTTGAAGTCCCTCCAGAAACGACTATATCGAAACCGTGCCTTGGAATTGCCGATGGCTGATCTAGTAGGAAACCAAGCAAGGAAGCACGCAACAGCCATGGATGGACGTGGCACAAGCTGACTTGAATGTCTACCACCGACACCGTTCGTACTTCTTTCGCCGCTTCAGCTTAGCGACAGCAGCAGCAGCATGGACGGTGACAGCGATGCGGACATCAACAGCGAGAGAGTTAGAATGCGATTCTTACTCTTGGGTCTGCTCCGGCTGAGCGGCGCCGACACTCACGCTCCGGCTTGTTTCATATCAGAGGTCAATTTCCGTCTGTAACCGCCGCGATGCAGCTCATGTGCCTTTTTTTCCGACATGCCTTCCACCTTGCTCTCTGCTCGGACGACGAAAGGCGGTCTTCTGTCGAAAAGCCGTGTGAAGACCTAACCTGTGCGTCAGACAACCCTCATGCGGGCGCGCGGGAGGTCCCTTTGCCTTGCGTCAGACTTTTCAGAAGAGAATTCCACTGACAGACCTTACGTTACCCTACCTTACCTTACCTTTCCTTACCGGTCCATGCAACCTTCGTAAGGGCACGGGGTGCGTTGCTTCGGCAGACCCTTGGAGGCGAGGCTCACTGATTCTCGCAGTCGCAGACCTTGTTTGTAACCTGCCCTGCACGCAATTTTACCGTCACGTTGCTAGTGTTGAAGTCGAGCGACGCTTTTTTCGTTGCGAGTCCCACTCGCTCTCTCCTGTCTTCTGTGACTCTGCTAGTACAGTAACGGTGCTGTCTTTGCGCGTGGATTGCGCAACGTAGATCGCCATGATGACGACGGCGAGTATGGTTCCTCGCGGCCTATCAAACGGCGAGCTGAGCGCGCAGGCGAGCGACCGATCTCAGTTCCGTGACCCATATCAATCTTATGACCGATTTAAAAGACCGATCTGTGTTCTTCCCAGCAGTGGTTAGCCTGAAGCTCAACGTGACAGCAGAGCAGCAGCGGTCATTCTTTCCGTGCAGTAGTAACCAGCTCCTGTGTGGCGGCGTTTGCGCGCTGTACAGGCGTTCGTTCGATCGTTCGTGCTTCTGATTCTTCCCAGTCTTGCATGCTACCGGTTTTACGCGAGGTGAAGCGCATTAGTACTATCTCTCGCCTCACAACTCGTTCGTGCAAGCTGAAATTGCTGCTGCTGATGGCTCGATCAGTCTGCGCCGGATTCGTTTTGCTCGTCAGCACCTCGCTCCTCCTGACGTGTAAGCAACCCGGCGTGGTGCTGTTTTTGCTTCCACTGTTCCTTCCGGACTCGAATAATATTTTCCTCCTTCAGTTGTTTGGAAGAAAGAAGATTGGACGCGGGATTTCGTTTCTTACCAGACAGCTAGTTCATCGGCGCAATCAGATTCACAGTCACGCACTTATTCCAAACTCTCACGCTTATGCTAAACTCTCACCTCCCCTCCTCTCTTCGTCTCCTCGTTCCCTCCCCGTCCCTCCTTTCGCGTACTCACCAATACCTTTCCTGATCGTCCCATCCTTCCCCCTCCCTCCCTCCCTCCCTCCCTCCCTCCCTCCCTCCGTCCCTCCCTCCCTCCCTCCCTCCCTCCCTCCCTCCCTCCCTCCGTCCCTCCCTCCCTCCCTCCCTCCCTCCCTCCCTCCCTCCCTCCCTCCGTCCCTCCCTCCCTCCCTCCCTCCCTCCCTCCCTCCCTCCGTCCCTCCGTCCCTCCGTCCCTCCCTCCCTCCCTCCCTCCCTCCCTCCCTCCCTCCCTCCCTCCCTCCCTCCCTCCCTCCCTCCCTCCCTCCCTCCCTCCCTCCCTCCCTCCCTCCCTCCGTCCCTCCGTCCCTCCCTCCCTCCCTCCCTCCCTCCCTCCCTCCCTCCCTCCCTCCCTCCCTCCCTCCCTCCCTCCCTCCCTCCCTCCCTCCCTCCCTCCCTCCCTTTCACCCTTCCCTTTTCCCTCCTTGCTGCTTCCGTTCCATCATCTCTCACATCCCTTCTCCCCCTTTCCCCCCTTTTCCCCTCTGCCCTTTCCCTCCCGCCCCTGCCCTTTTCCCTCTTTTCCCCGCCCTTCCCCGCCATGCGCAGCTGCATGGCTGAAGCAAGCACAGGTGAGTCGCGACATCTGGACTCCCCTGCTGGTAACCGTATCGCCGCTTTCGTTTTCCAGTATTCTGAGCAGTCGCCTTTGTTGATAACATTCCGTGTCTTCGTGCTGTCACGCTATTTCACTTCAACACAATCCAATGTTCAACCGGGAGCTAGCATTATGGGCTTCTAAAAAGCAGCTATGTTGGTGGTGCTTTTGAGAATTCTCAAAAGCACTTTCAACCGGGAACTAGCTATACGGGGTCCTAGAAAGCAGAACATTCAGTGCTGATTGATATGAGTGAAACTCAAAACATTAAGTGCCTTCACTATGCGTTTGGTCTATGCATTATCTGCTGTCTTCAGTCATCTTCGTTTGATTCTAACTGTTACTTCCACGTATTAGGCCGCCCTGTTCACCAACCCTTGGTGTACCGTTTTGTCCTTTGAAACACCTTGCTGGGTCGGAAGGATTCTACCCTCCACCCACCAGGCTGCCTCGTATACCATACCTTAGTGGGTAGCAACGATATGGTACCCACCACCCTAACCTTGGCTCTGCACCCTGTTTTCCCTGGCTCTCTATTTTCCCTGGCTCTCTGTTTTCCACCCACCAGGCCGCCACCTACACCATCCCTTGGGATCTTGTCAGGACGAGAGGGGTGCAGCCTCCGGATCTGGTCACTCGTGGCGATACAATCGGTAGGTCCTCCTAACCCGGATTTGTACCATAACACTTGACTCTCCATATCACTTCTCTCCAACTCACACCACTTCGTATCTTGCTGCGTGAAAGTGGAGTAACCATGAGTTTCATTGTTCCACGGAATATGACGTGTGGGTGTGACCGTGTGACCGTGTGACCAGATGAGATAAGGTAAACTTTAAGTTCCACGTATCATGACTATTCATGCCTCTCTTGAGGCGCCTCAAAACTTTTGAGGCGCCTCAAAAGTCGTCTCATTACCCGCAATTTTTTTTTAGGCGCCTCATAAGTTCCACGTATATGACTATGCATGCCTCTCTACCCATGCCTTTCTCAAATTTATCCTTGAGTGAATTATACGAGTATCTGTTTTTTCTTCTTTTCCTTTCCCATTCTTATCATGACCCATGAACCATCACCAAGCAATATCATCATAAGCTACCACCGTGCATCATCAGCAAAAGAGCCATAGCGCATGTGGCATGATGCAGTGAAATATTATCAACTTACCATCTACGTACTATGTGTCCTTTCCCCATGGCCATCCCTCAGTGTTCAAGTGGACGGACCTGGCATGGCATGATCTGTGGATCATGGACGATGAGAAAGCGTTCAAGAACTGCGACTTCACTCGGGCAAAGCGCCTCCGACCACTTGTTGTTGGCGGGCAGTACACGTGAGTTGGGACAGCACGCGAAAATAATGGGGTAGTTTGGGTAACCTCATGGCAGTATGCAAAGATTCTGGGCATTATAGTTTCAGAATGAATGAATGAATTCATCCGTGCCAATATCCATGTTTCTAAATGTTTTTTTTTTTTTCATGTTTGACTGTTCTTGATTGCAAGCAGCATTTCGGCACCTCCTGAAATCATAAGCCCCCTGCAGATTCCATTATTGCAGCGAACCACCAGCAACTAGCTGACTGTGGCTTGTATTGAGGTCATTTTAGAGGTGCACCTTCCTGCGAGGCCTCTCTGATTTCAGATCAACTAGCCGATTGCTGGTTGTGGCTTGGCACCCTTCCTGCGACTTGCTTGCCACTTCAACCCATCAGCCCTGCCCTAGCTTCTGCACCACCGTTGCCTTTTATCGCTATCACCAGCAATCTTAGTTTCTGCCAACCATGTCAATCTAAATCCCACTATATGCCATCCCTCATCATCTCGCTGTGGCTGGCAGGTACAAGGTGGCTGTCATCTGGGAGTTTTATCTGCTCTATTTTGCCTCAAGTGGCATCCTCGTTTTGAGGAACACTATCAGAATCTCACTGTTGTAAATTCCATCCCTCGCCATCTCCCTGTGGCTGGCAGGTACAAGGTGACTGCCATCTGGAAGTTCTATCCTCTCTATTTCGCCTTAATCTCACTGTTGTGAATGCCGCCCCTCACTCTCCCTGTGCCTGCCAGGTACAAGGTGACTGCCATCTGGGAGATTTTTCCGCTCTATTTCGCCTCGAGTGGCATCCTGCAGTGCCGCTACTACAAGGTGAAGCTGTCAGTCGTGGTCCACAACCTTGGATGATCAGAGGAAGATCATCCTAGATCACGTTCTGAGGCAATGTTTATGGATCAAGTTTTAGCTTTCCGCTCTGTTTCACCTCTAGTCTAGTGGCATCATGCAGTGCCAAGTGAAGCTTTCAGTTGTGGTGCAGAATACGTCACTTGAGATTCAGGTCAGGCTACACTCTGCAGCATTGCCAGTCACATATTGTACAGTCATCATCCTGCAGTGCAGTTGCTACACAAAATGTTCACACACGCTGTACGCTATCTAACAGTTTCGTCAATACACTTTGTATGGCAAATGCCAATCACTTCTGCGCATTCAGGCTGAACCATCACATTAAAAATCGCGGTACATCAGGGTCTGTAACGCCATGGCCAGATTCTATTGCAGGATCGTGCGCAGAACTTTTCAACAGTATCAGAAGCATCTGTGTAAACACCCTTTCCCCCCTTTCCCTCTTCCACAGGCCCCAGCTCATGAAATGCAGGGAATGTACAAACCAGAGTTCGGTGAAAGAAAATGCCCATTCTATCCCTTTGTGAGCTTATATATACGAGGTCAATGAACGATATCGAACGAATTCCTGCGTCAGCTCTTGGACAATGTCCACATTCGAATCCATCTTGGCCGCCAGATTTCGGATTCACCCATAGAGCCTTGACGTGGCGTGGTGCAGCCAATCTGCTGCGTCCCTGGGTATTGGCCTTGGCGAAGCCGAACCCATCCGACGAATCGCGCTTAGCCTGTCATCCATCATCCCGCACCAGGATTCGTCGCTCCAGTCTCCAGATAGAGCCTCGGGGAACCTCTGGCCTGTCGTGTTCTAGGTTCGGAAGAGTCTAGCTCTTCTTGCCACGCAGACTAACCAATTACAGCACGTAGATTCGGTTCGGTGAAAAGCCTCGAAATTCGAGAAGTCTGATGAGCTCGGGGCGCATTTGCAGCTGTTGTAAATGCTTTGCGCTTGGAGCCATGGTGGATTTTCCCGAGTCCTAGGTTAGCCGCTCGCGATTGCCTGATGCTCGTGCCTCCACTCCTCGTAACGAACGATAGGAGTTATATGGTGTGTCCCGTCTCTCGTAGGAGCGGATTCGGTCACTTTTATTAGCCCCAATCACGAAGTAATACGTTTTCTTCTTCCTGTTTCCCGGGCCCAATTTGAATTTCTTTTCCATCCTGTTCGCGGATCAGTAGACTTTCTATTGATCATGACCGCGGCTATGGCTAGACTGGCAGCATCCCTACCTATGCGGTACGTCACGGGCAGCGTACCGAACGGAAATGCCTCTCAGTCCTCACCGAAATCGTCCGCCCTTCTTTTACGAAAATCGAATCTGAGGATACGGAACCCGGCATCAGTTATAGGAGAGCGACTGGAAACCCGGAATCGCAGATTTAGCAGGCGGATCGTGCGATCGAGGGCGGAAGATGGGTCTTCAACTGCTAATGGCGGCTCGCAAGCCGATAGTGAAGCTGTAAATTCGGTGAAATCCGAAAAATCTGGCGTGGCTGGCGAGAGCAGCATTCCTGTGCAGGCACAACCAGAGAAAAATAAGGATATTGATGAAGAGAAGGAGAGGGAGAAGGAGCGGCGGAGGCAGCAAGCGCTGCGGCAGGCGGCGAGACGAGCGCGGACGCCGCCAACCAGCGCAAGCGGTGCTGGCGGCGCCAGTGGTGGCAGCGGGGAGAGCGGGAAGGAGGGCGAGGGGGCGGTGAAGGAGGGACTGCTGATAGGACTGGCGGAGGCCATAGAGGACGCGTTTGGCGCTACCAGCGAGGGGCGAGGCGAGGTTGACAAGCTGGATATCAGCAAGGTGAGAGCGGGTGAGAGTGGGTGAGGGGTGGAGACACATCACACGGGAAGCGGTGATGGGGCTGGCGGGGGCCATCGAGGACGCGTTTGGCGTTACCAGCGAGGGGCGAGGCGAGGTTGACAAGCTGGATATCAGCAAGGTGAGAGCGGGTGAGTGGATATGTGTGTGAGAGTCGGTGAGAAGTTGTTATTGGATGGAAATGTTTGTAGAAATTACTCAGGGGACTGGTGAATGCGGGGTGAAATAGGCTATCAAGGGGTGTTTGTGGGGCTGGGAGGATGGGGCCGTGAGAGGCTATCGAGGACGCGTTTGGCGCTACCGACGGTGGGAAGGGGGCAGCTGACAAGCTGGATATCAGCAAGGTGAGAGCCGGTGAGGGGTGGGTATGAGTGGGAGCTTTACTCAAGGGGGTGGTGAAGGGGCAACGAAGAAAGTGGGGTGAGGGACCGTCTACTGATGGGGCTGGTGGAGGTTATTTGCCATTGGCGATGGTGGGAAGGGTGCAGTTGACAAGCTGGATATTGCAAAGGTGAGACTCGTTGCCGGGAGGGGGAGATGAGCAACGAGGAATCACTCGAGTCACTCGCGGGTGACGGGGCAGGAAGGGAGCAGTTGACAAGCTGGATAGATACCACCCAGGTGATTGAGCGCCGGTGAGAGATGGGTATGTGTGGAAATCGATGAGAGATGGGTATGTCTGTGAAAGTCACTTGAGGGAGCGTTAATGAAAGTAAGTACGTCCGTGAGCGATGCTATATGACCGTCATTCCTGTGTGCCCATCTCAAAGAAACTCCTGCTTTTTGTGTGCAGTTGCAGAAGAGGACCATCAGCGTGGTCTGCCGTGTTCGTCCCCTGGGGAAAAACGTGCAACCTTCAGTCGCTCGCATGGGTACCTTTGACGATGATTTTCATTGTCGGCATTGATCTTCACGCGAGCGACGAACACGGCATTGATTTCTTGTTTTCCCAGAGGGCGAACTCGGCAGATCACACTGATGGTCCTTTTCTGCAACCCTTCCCTCCCCATTCCCTCTTGATTTTTGTTCGCCTCTCCCCTTCTCACCAATAGCTCCGCACCTCTTTCTCCTGCACGAACTTCTGGCCCACTGGCTCCCTACCCTACGGTCCAGGCGCATTGTTCACGGCCCCTATCTCCTCTCCGTCCCATACCTTCCCATACCTTCTCACCTCTTTCTTACCTCTCCCCACCCCCAACCCCCCATCCCACCCTCACCCTCTCAGCTCCGCACCTGCTTCTCCTACACGGGTTTCTGGCCCACAGACTCCCGTCCCTACGGCTCAGGCGCACTGTTCACTGGGAACCTGCGGGCTGCTGACGTGGCGGACGCGCGGGAGAGGCTGGAGACAAAGCTGGCCGAGGGTGCTGGTTGCCCCGTGGCGGTTTTCTTTCTCAAGGATGAGCGGCAAGAGAAGGAGGTGCGTGGTGCGAGCAAGGTTTTCTGAGAACTCTCAAAAACGCGGTGCGTGGTGCGAGCAAGGTTTTTCTGAGAACTCTCAAAAACGCGGTGCGTGGTGCGAGCAAGGTTTTTCTGAGAACTCTCAAAAACGCGGTGCGTGGTGCGAGCAAGGTTTTTCTGAGAACTCTCAAAAACGCGGTGCGTGGTGCGAGCAAGGTTTTTCTGAGAACTCTCAAAAACGCGGTGCGTGGTGCGAGCAAGGTTTTTCTGAGAACTCTCAAAAACGCGGTGCGTGGTGCGAGCAAGGAGGCGAGTCCGTCAGTTGATTGTTGTGGTGCTGGGTGAGGAGCAACCTAGCTGGACGAGGGTGCTGAGTGCCCCGGGGCCGTGTTCTTCCTGAAAGACGAGCGGAGGGAGAATGAGGCGTGCTTTCTGGGAGGGTAATAAGAGGGGTGCGGGGTGCATATCCGTCATTGGCAGGGCAAGTATGAAGGGAGAGGCTGGAGGCGAAGCTGGGCGAGGCTGCTGGGTGCCCCGGGGCCATGTTCTTCCTGAAAGACGAGCGGAGGGAGAAGGAGGTGCGTGGGTGCGTGCGTGCGAGGAGAGAGGTATATTTCTCAGGGGATTGTTGCAGTGGTGGTGGTGGTCACATGCCGAGCTGCTGAGTGCCCCCTGGCGGTTTCCTTCCTGAAAGACGAGCAGCGGGAGAAGCAGGTGCGTGGGTGGTGAGAGGGGTGTGGGGTGCATGTGCTTCACTAGCTGGTCAAATGAGAGAGAGTGGTGAGGCAGCAGGCGAAGCTGGGCAACGGTGCTGGGCGCCCCGCGACTGTGTTCTTTCTGAAAGACGAGCACATGGAGGAGGGCCGTCGTGCGAGGAAGGAGACATGTCCCTCAGGTTTTTTCTTGTCACACTCGGTTCGGGTCACTCTCGGGTCAATCTCGGGTTACTCTCGGGTCAATCTCGGATCACTTTCAGATTTACCACTTGTGGTCACACTCCGTTCACTCTCGGGCCACTCTCGGGTAGTTCTAGGGTCAGTTTAGGGTCATTGTCGGGACACTCTTAAGTCACTCTTGTAACACTCTCACCAGCCTCTCCCGCTGGCCGCTCATGCTGCTCTCCCTGCTGGGCTGCCTCGCCACCACTACTCCCTTTTTCCCCATTCACCCCCATGTCCTCCTCTCCTGCTGGCCGTTCATGCTACTCTCCCTCCTCCCCACCCACTGTCCTCCCCTTCCCCCCTTCCTGCTTTCTCCCTCCCCTCTACCCATCAGGTGTGCATAGTCCAACCAGTATCCTACATAAATCGTCGTCTCGCCCTCACCACTCTCACCGGCCTCTCCCGCTGGCCGCTCATGCTGCTCTCCCTCCTCCTCTCATGCTAACCCCCTTTCCTCCTCTGCTCCTGCTTCCCCTTCCCCACTTATCAGGTGTGCATAGTGCAACCAGTATCCTCCATCGATCGACGTCTCGCCCTCACCACTCTCACCGGCCTCTCCCGCTGGCCGCTCATGCTGCTCTCCCTCCTGGGCTGCCTCGCCACCACTGCCACCGTCTCGGGTGTCAATCTTGACCCCTATAAAGTTGGGCTTGGGGAGTCAGCTCACCACGCCCTCCCTTTAACCCTCGGCCTTGCCACAGTCATTGGTGTGGGAGAGGTGAGTTCTTTGCCTTCTCTGTCCCGCTTGCCCTTCTCTCTCTCCTGGGTGGGTTGCCTCGCCACCACTGCCACTGTTTCTGGCGTCATCTCGACCCCTATAGGGTGGGGCTTGGGGAGTCAGCACACCACGCCCTGCCTTTAACCCTCGGCCTTGCCACAGTCATCGGTGTGGGAGAGGTGAGCTCTTTGCCTGCCCGCTCTCTCTCACCCCTCCGTGAGAAGTGAGAGGTGAGTGCTTCGTCTGCCCTGTCCCGCTTGCCCCTCCACCTGCCCTCCTCTCCCTGCTGGGCTGCCTCGCCACCACTGCCACCGTCTCTGGTGTCAATCTCGACCCCTATAAAGTTGGGCTTGGGGAGTCAGCTCACCACGCCCTGCCTTTAACTCTCGGCCTTGCCACACTCATCGGTGTGGGAGAGGTGAGTGCTCTACCTCTCCACCTGCCCCCATCTCCCTTTTCTCCCTCCTCTCCCTGCTGGGTTGCCGCGCCACCACTGCCACTTTTCTGGTGTCAATCTCGACCCCTATAAAGTTGGGCTTGGGGAGTCAGCTCACCACGCCCTCCCTTTATCCCTCGGCCTTGCCACACTCATCGGTGTGGGAGAGGTGAGTGCTCTACCGAGGGTGAGGGGCAGGGCGTGGTGAAGCTGCTCCCTCCTCTCTCCACTGGGCTGTCTCGCCACCACTGCCACCGTCCCTGGTGTCAACCTCGACGCTTATGGACTTGGGGAGTCAGCTCATCCCCGCCCCTACCTCCTCCCTCCTGTTCTCACACACACTCGTTACCCATTCCTCCCTCCCCTCCATAGTCACAACCCACTCCCACCCCCCTCCATAGTCACAACCCACTCCCACCCCCAGCTCTTTCAACGCATCATGGCAGGGCGATACAGGGTGAAGCTCCCCCCGCCCTAGTGCGCTTGATGATGCTGCTTCCTCCCTCCCCTCATCTGCATTCCCAAAACCCTTTCCTGCATTCCCTCCCAACCCCACTCCCACCCCCAGCTCTTCCAACGCATCATGGCAGGGCGATACAGGGTGAAGTGAAGCTCCCCCCGCCCTAGTGCGCTTGCTGATGCTGCTTCCTCCCTCCCCTCATCTGCATTCCCAAAACCCTTTCCTGCATTCCCTCCCAACCCCACTCCCACCCCCAGCTCTTCCAACGCATCATGGCAGGGCGATACAGGGTGAAGTGAAGCTCCCCCCGCCCTAGTGCGCTTGCTGATGCTGCTTCCTCCCTCCCCTCATCTGCATTCCCAAAACCCTTTCCTGCATTCCCTCCCAACCCCACTCCCACCCCCAGCTCTTCCAACGCATCATGGCAGGGCGATACAGGGTGAAGTGAAGCTCCCCCCGCCCTAGTGCGCTTGCTGATGCTGCTTCCTCCCTCCCCTCATCTGCATTCCCAAAACCCTTTCCTGCATTCCCTCCCAACCCCACTCCCACCCCCAGCTCTTCCAACGCATCATGGCAGGGCGATACAGGGTGAAGTGAAGCTCCCCCCGCCCTAGTGCGCTTGCTGATGCTGCTTCCTCCCTCCCCTCATCTGCATTCCCAAAACCCTTTCCTGCATTCCCTCCCAACCCCACTCCCACCCCCAGCTCTTCCAACGCATCATGGCAGGGCGATACAGGGTGAAGTGAAGCTCCCCCCGCCCTAGTGCGCTTGCTGATGCTGCTTCCTCCCTCCCCTCATCTGCATTCCCAAAACCCTTTCCTGCATTCTCTCCCAACCCCACTCCCACCCCCAGCTCTTCCAACGCACCATGGCAGGGCGATACAGGGTGAAGTGAAGCTCCCCCCGCCCTAGTGCGCTTGCTGATGCTGCTTCCTCCCTCCCCTCATCTGCATTCCCAAAACCTTTTCCTGCATTCTCTCCCAACCCCACTCCCACCCCCAGCTCTTCCAACGCATCATGGCAGCGCGATACAGGGTGAAGCTCCCCCCGCCCTACCTCCCTTCTCCCGTGCTCCACACACATTCGTTGCCTCCTTCCCGTCCCTCCTTCCACTACCCAATTCACCCCAGATCTTCCAACGTATCATGGTGGGTCGATACGGGGTAAAGCTCTCCCCACTCTCCCTTGCATGCCCATGCCTCTTCCCCCCTCCTCCCCCCTCCCCTGCATTCCCCCCCAACCCCACACCACACCAACAGATCTTCCAGCGGATCATGGCGGGGCGATACGGGGTAAAGCTCTCCCCGACCTACCTTGCTTGCTGATGCTGCTTCCTCCCTCCCTCCCCTGCATTCTCTCCCTACCCCCGCAACCCCTGCATTCTCCCCCAACCCCACACCACACCAACAGATTTTCCAACGTATCATGGCGGGACGATACGGGGTAAAGCTCTCCCCGCCCTACCTCCTTCCCGGCCCCCTGGGCTGCCACGGCACTGCCACTCGCTTCGAGTCGCTCCTACCCTCCTCCCGGGTAGGTGGGTTGCTGGGGTTCGCTTCGAGTCTCTGCTACCTTCCTCCTGGGTAGGTTGTGACGTGAGGGTTGATGTGAGGGGTGGATGGTAGGAAGGAGTGAGAGGGAAAGGGGGTATGGCCTGCGCCTCTCCCCGCCCTACCTCCTCCCCGGCCCCCTGGGTTGCCATGGCACTGCCACTCGCTTCGAGTCCCTGCTGCCCTCCTCCCGGGTATGTGGGGTGGATGGATGGTAGAAGGGAATGAGAGGGAAGGGGGGTATGGCCTGCGCCTCTCCCCGCCCTACCTCCTCCCCGGCCCCCTGGGTTGCCATGGCACTGCCACTCGCTTCGAGTCCCTGCTGCCCTCCTCCCGGGTATGTGGGGTGGATGGATGGTAGAAGGGAATGAGAGGGAAGGGGGGTAAGGTGTGCACCTCTCCCCGCCCTACCTCCTCCCCGGCCCCCTGGGCTGCCATGGCACTGCCACTCGCTTCGAGTCCCTCCTGCCCTCCTCCCAGGTAGGTGGTGAGACGAGGGGTGGATGCATGGTAGGAGGGAGTGAGAGGAATGGACTTACATGTGCACCTCTTCCTGTCTTTCCTCCTCCCGAGGCCGCTAGGCTGCCAGTCGCCTCTCCCCACCCTATCTCCTCTTCTTTGTCTCTCCTCAAAGGCCTAATCCTCCTCCTCCTCCTCCTCCTCCTCCTCCTCCTCCTCCTCCTCCTCCTCCTCCTCCTCCTCCTCCTCCTCCTCCTCCTCCTCCTCCTCCTCCTTCTCCTCCCCCCTCTCCCCACCAGGCGCTGTTCAACATGTGTGCAGCCAAGGCGGTCGTGTCATTCATTATGTCCTTTTAGTGTAAACCTTTTCCATTACTTTCCTTCAAAGGCCACATCGGTCCCCTTTCTTCTCCCCCCCGCCCTCGGCCCCCTCCCCCGCACCAGGCGCTGTCTGACACGTGTGCAGGCAAGGAAGTAGGTCATTCATGGCGTCTTTACAAGCGTGAATCGTTTCCATTACCTCTCTCCTTCGCCCCCCCCTCCACCCCCTCTCTCCTCACCAGGCCCCCTTCGACATGTGTGCAGCCTGTCAGGGTCATTCATGACCCTCTCTCCCTTCCCCTTCACCGATGCTCCTCTCCATTATCTCTCCTCAACAGCTTAAACCCCTTCTCTTCCATCCCCGTCTCTCCCCCCACCAGGCAGTGGGGTCATTTATGGTGTCATTACAAGCGTGAAGGGGTTCATGACTTTTGAGGCGCCTCAAAAGTCATTTATGGTGTCATTACAAGCGTGAAGGGGTTCATGACCCTCTCTCCCTTCTCCTTCCCTGAGGCTCCTCTCCATTATCTCTCCTCTACAGCTCAAACCCCTTCTCTTCCACCCCCTCGTCTCCCCCCACCAGGCCCTCTTTGATATGTGTGCAGCCAAGGCGGTGGGATCATTCTTTACGTCGTTACAAGTGCGAGTCCTTTTCCTTGTCTCAACTCAGAGACCCTATCCCCATTCTCCTCACCCCCCAACCCCACCCCACCAGGCCCTCTTTGATATGTGTGCAGCCAAGGCGGTGGGATCATTCATGACGTCATTCGTTCTGGCGTGTGTGGCGCTGGCAGCTGATGGGGGCGTTGACGGTGGTATCGACCCCATGTGAGTTCCTTTGTTGACTTGCGTTGACTCGCATTGACTTGCTCTCCATTCATTCTGGACTGTGTGGCGCTGCCATCTGATTGGGGGGTTGACGGCGGTATCGACCCCATGTGAGCCCCTGTTGACTTGCCTTGACTTGCATGGAGTTGCCTTGACTTGCGTTGACATGCCTTGACTTACTCTTCATACATTTTGGCGTGTGTGGCGCTGGCAGCTGATGGGGGCATCGACTCCACGCGAGTCCCTGCTTTGTTTACTTGCGTTGACTTGCATTGACCAGACCAATCGAAGGAGAGCACTTTCAAAGGTTAATCTATATGTCCACCTAAATGCATTCTATGTATTTAAGATGGCCGACCAAAAGGGGTCATAAAAAGAAAGTACTTAGGAGCATCGCTCGTGTCTAGGCACCTCATAATTCGTTGTTTTTCACCCCTCTACACCTTCCCCAATCGCATTATCCTCTCCATCGCTCTCCTTGCATCCCCCATCAGCAAATGCCATCCCGACACCCCTCCCCTTGATCGCTCTTCCCTTCAGTCGTCTTCCCTCCCACCCTCCCACCCTCCCCCCTTCCCCCTCCCTCTTCCACCATCTTTCTCTTCCCATGCCCCACCAGGTACATCGAGCCATCCTTCTTCGTGCCCAATCTCCTCCTCTCCTTCATTCACAACATCATCGGCCCATACTCCGTCCTTGCCCCACTCTCTCCCCTCACTCTCTCCCCCCACTCTCTCCCCTCTCTCCCCCCTCTCTCCCCTCTCTCTGCTGAACCATCGTCGATTGATATCATACAGCGATTGGCTGCAGTGATGAGAAGTGTAGCTCATGCTTCCGCAGAGCAAAATGCCCGGTACAGCTCGAACATGAGAGACATGCGGCGTATTATGGACCGGCTTGATCAGGTCGAGCCCTATTTCATGCATCAACAGGTCCTCTTGAGCGAGAGATTCAAGGAGGTGTTTCGTGAAGTGGTCGCTGAACGCAAGACGATCGTCGAAGCGAGAGATGAGATGAAGTCCAATTTAAGCGGGATGAGGAAGGTGCTGGCAGATGCGGCTACAAATGCGTTTGGAAGACAGTATGAAAATGTGCTGCGTTCGATGAAAGAGACCATCATGGAATCCGTCGACAAGGCACTGGCCAGGGCTGCACTCGAGTCACGGCTGAAGGTGATACTACCGAGTGACTACATGGAGTCTATGAGAAGGTCTGTCCAGGGTGGCGTCGAAGACACATTGGCCGCTGTGAGGATGGCTTCAACCCGCGACGAGGAGGCAATAGCACAAATCAAGGAGGAAGTGTGTGCGGCGGTACTCAAAGTTCTGGCAGCACAGAGAGAGATGCAGTGTCAAGAGGGGTTTGCAGCTGTTTCCGAAGGGGGCCGGGGAGTTTTTGAGGATCGTTACAGTGCATCTGTCAACGGGCGTATGAACGCAGTTACAGACTTGCCAGCACCACCAGTCAACGCAATGTCGTGCGCGGACATTGGCTTTGTGGGCGAGAACCAAGCGTCCGCGAGTGAGTGTCGTGTTCGGCTTGAGACAGAGCCTGGTGGTGAGGATGACGGACGGGCGTCGCCAAGCCAACACGCTACGCAGACCGAGCCTAAACAAGACCAGGGTGGTCACAGCAGTGCTGTCAGGCGAGCGGAGGGTGGCGAAGGTTTTTCGCAGGGACTCTTGCGCGCGGAACATGATTTCAAGAGGCAACGCGTGGAAAAAGATGGGGAACCCTTGGAGACCGGTGACGTAGTTTGAGCAGGCAGCTCGAAGACTAGTGAAGATGCGGTGGAGCATGTTGCATTGAGAAAGGCGGGGCAAATGACCTTTGGCTCGGTGTGGTGTTTTCTCAACGAACCTTCTGCATTTGTGCAAGAAACTGGGCCGCATGCATCCCAAAAGGTACGCGCGACAGCATCGCAGTGCCTGATTGATGATGGCACGTCGGGTGGTGCCATCGTTCACGTCGGTGCAGATTCAGGTGTGAATGGGTTAAAGGAAATGGCGACCGACAACATCGACGAATTGGAGTCTCTGCAGCTGGACGAGTTTGGAAAGAGTTGGGGAATTCTGCGGCCTTTCAGGTCGGCAGGCTTCGGGCTGCGACAGAAGGGCACGGCTCAACAGCGCTATTGTTCGGAGCAAACAGTCGGAGGGCGAAAGCGAAACATGGGCTGCCACAAAGAGGAGTCGAGTAGAAACTTCACAATTGCTGTTTGCTGGATGGCCTACTTTCCCGACGCAGACTTGCTGCATTACAAGATGTCTCCACACGACATCAACTGTTGGGCGGCAGAGCTCGAATTTGCAAGGAAGGTGCCAACCGGAGTGTGGAGTGTCATGAATGAACTCAACCTCGACCGTCTCGACAAGTGAGTGTTATTTTTTTCCGCACATCATGCTCGTCGTTTGTATATACTAATTTATTTCTGTTATTGTTTGCAGTTTCCGTAACGTCATGAGGCGGACCCGGGAGCGCCTGGACAAGGGGCTTGAATGGGAGATGGCGTTGTGCGCAGGTGTGGGTCGCGCGGTTATTCTTGGGAGATGTGACGTTGCACCACCAATTGGGGTGCCCCCCCTCGTCTACGCCGCAGCAATCGGAGCCACACTCTTTGCACTGCTGGCTGCGTCGACAGGCGTTCCACCAGACTTGGGAATCGAAGACGGTGCCGAAGCAACTGCACGCGCGACGATTGACGACGAGGCTACTGCGCATCGTGCAGCAGAAGCTGCCACTCTTGGCCTGGCAGCATTGGTGAAAGTCTCGGATGCCGCGCACGATAAAAACGAATGGGAGGCTGTGCTCGCCCCCACTATTCTGGGCCTTTTCGACTGTGGCACCGACATCGAAACCGAAAGCATATGCAAGGTAGTGGCAAGAGTGATTGTGTTCTGGTGCGGATGCAATGTCTCTGCAGCTGGCCTCGTCGAGTTTGTTGGAGCAGCTCTGCGAATCACGCCGACAAAACGCGGGAAAGCGCTCAGGAATAGCTGATCACAAATAGGATGGTATTAGCATCCTCGACATTGGCATTCGTGTACTGGTTTAATGCTAGAGATTGTAGTAAAAAACATTTCAGACACTTTTGGCTGTTGTATTACTACCATAGCGGAATTCGTCTGCAGTGACCACTGGCTATTGGTGAAACCAAAACACATCGGGGGTTCAAACGGGCACAGCATGGACATTGACATCACCAGCCACGTGGCATGCTGCATATCGTGCGGTAGAATGGTTGCGGAACGAACCCACCTCATGCGGATTACAGTCCCGCCACCTGGCATACGTAGAGATCGTTGTGCGCTGCGAAAGATCCCGCGCAACGTCTAGACAGGAATGATGGGCGGATGCTATGGGATGTTTGCAAAACATCACTATTCTAAACGTTGCACCATTCGACAACCACCATGAAACAATGTCCGGCATTCATTGGGTGGGTGGAGCCGGGTCGTTACAACAATTTCATGTTTCTGAGCTCGCGTCACACCTACAGAATACGCCCTCATCCATTGCCCAATGACGCTGCGTGTGTTTTAAGTCAAACAGTCCGCGGGATCCAAACAAGTTTTTGAGAACCCTGCTACCTTATATCTACTCCCCTTTGCTCGTCTACCGGTGATTTCTTGCGTGAAGATGGCTGGGCCCGTATCTCTATCTGGTTGTGGCGTTAATGTTTTGGTGCCAGAAGACCTCTACCAGCTTGTGCTAGATGGGAAGAAAGAATGGCCTACGACCTTTCTAGACTATGCGATTCTGTGAGTGTCTGGACAACGGTTGCTTGAGTCTGACGTTGTGTCGACCATGTCTCCATTTACTCTAGCGTTATGGCAATATCCTATAAAGGTTGTCTCATAATAAACCTGCCTTCCAACTTGTCGATGTCGTTACAGAAAGCTGGCCAACACAATCCTCAAGTCTGCGGAACTAGAGAAGTTACACATAATATCCTCGAAGGTCGCTGCTGTGGCGATCAGTAAAGTTCCTCCACAACTGTTAGGCCTGACCGGGAAATTTGGTCTTTTGTCGAAGGAGGTCATCGTCGTTCCACTGTTCTCTGGGTGAGTGTTGCAGGTCGTTCGTTGCGCTGGTAGATGACCGACGGAGCTAACTCCTTTGGAGCGTCTTGCAGGCTTAAGGTCCCTCCGCATGCTTGCGTCAGCATGATCGTTATAATTCATCCTGACGATCTGCTTGCACAACCACGTGGAATCTACCGCACGCGAGCGATCCACTATGATCCTAAAGGGAGAATCCCTTCACACCAGCACGCGGATCTTGCTACGCGTGTTTTCAAGTACGTCCGTTACCCCGGCTCGTCGCTATGCTTCCTGT